TGTGGAAGAGGAGGCTCTCTCACACCCACTGGCGCCCCCTTCAGGTCATTCCTTTCTCTCTTCATTCCTCCTACTACCTCAGGTCAGGCCCTCAACCCCCTTCAGTCCTGGAGACCTAAAAAACATCACTACTGACGTTCGACGCCTAGAATTTTCCCCATTTCGGGCACAATGCCATTGATTTCCCAGCTTCCCTTTGCTTATAGACCTCCAGAGACCCTCTACGACCTTTCCAGACAAATTCAAAGCCTTCATCCAGGCTGCTGACTCTCCACCCACCCAACACCGCTTCCTTGCCATTCCAGTGAGGGGTTTATGCATTCCATCCTCGAACACCAGCTCACCAACACATAGCTTGCAAATCTGGCCCTTCTCCTCCTGAAGCTGTGGACTTCCTTCTTTTCTGTAAAACTGTGCCCACAGCAGCGCCCCACATGGCCCCTTCCTGGGGGACAACATGAGCTAAAGTGCCATATTTAGCTGTGGTTGATTACCAGTTGTTTTCCATGATTTAGTCATGTCTCATCTCCTGCACATATGGCTGGCGTTTAATAAATACTTAGTTGAATTGTTGATTGGGGAAAATGTAGAGATAAGGCCACCACCAAGAGTCTGAACTGTTCAAAACCCCAATCACAGGCATGTGTCTACAAGTATGTGCGCGTGTGGGTGCACTTGCGCGTTTGTAGTTTAATGTCTAGATCTCTCTTCCACCTACCGGGCACCAACTTAAGAGTCACCTGAGCCAAAACGTGCCCAGTGGATGCTCCGCCCCCACTCTGCTCTGATGATTGGCGTGCATCTCCCCAGGGGATTATGGGAAGACCTGACCTCAGCCTGGCAAGGTGATGCTTTTCCTCTAGTGCCTGATACTTCTGAAGCTATTTCTGGTTTCTGCACAAAAAGTTCCTCTGGCTCTGTGACTCACCAAAGCCAGCAGTGTGCAGGTGGATCACAGGGATAAGGGGAGGAAGAAGGAAGATTCTGGTGGGTTGAGAGCAGGCAGTTCCTTCCCAAGTCATTCTTTTCTTTTGTCAACTAGTACTAGGATTTGAACTCAGGCCTTGCCCTTGCTTGGCTTGCTCACTCAGCTGGCACTCCATCCAGCTGAGTCGGGTCGCCAGGCCAGCTTTTTGATGGTTATTTTGGAGATAAGAGTTGCATGCACTTTTCTGCCTTGGCTCGCTTTAAACTATCATCCTCCAGATCCTAGCCTCTTGAGTAGCTACGATTACAGGCTTGGCTCCATGTCAGCCTTTTATCAGAGCACACTAGCAGCACAGAAGGTACTGATTCATGTGCGTGGATGGTAGATTTTTCTATGAACATAAGCAATGGGTCTGGCTTCAAATCCCTCATGCCTAGTACATAGTCAGCAATTGAGAAATATAAGGGACGAGTGAACCCCACTGGGTGCTAGAAAAGACTTCTGAGAGACAGAGTCTGGCTCCTAGGGAGTCAAACTTTGTAAGATGTGTCGATGCCCATGGGTATTAGTTGGCTGTGTCAAGCTGGGATCATCTCCTAGCCAGAGCTTTCAGATAGCAGGTGGTAAGGTGCTAGTCAGCCAGGCTCTGCTCAGAGAATTTAGGCATTAAATATGACTGTAGACCAATAACTATTGTGCTATTAATCTTACTATATTAATAAGAGTCAGCATTTATTGCAGACTTCCTGTGTGTACCGATCACTTGCAAATCATTTCTCATTTGCTTACTTACAATAACTCCCAAAGATGACTCTGCTCAGAGCTGACAAACCTATCAGGTCCAATGAGTACTCAGAACCAGTGCTGACGGACCCAGGAGGAAGGAGAACAGGGCAGGAAATCCAGCCCAAATTCCTACTCTGAAAAAAAAAAAAAATGTTCGACTCAACCCAGGAGAGGGGATGGGGCAATAGAAGTAGAAGAAACTAACTCCAAGATAAAAGGAGAATTATACACAAAGGGTTTGTAGCCCAGCCCAGAGGAAGGGAGGAATGGTTGGGGTGTGGGGGAGGGAGTAGAGTCATAACTTCCTGGATGAGGTGGCATTATACGTAGATTTTTAAAACCTACAGCATCTAAGAGACAAGAAAGAGCATTCCATATGGATAAATTAGGATGAGTGAAGTCAGTGAGTGACACATTGGACATCAGCATCTCAAACAGACCCAATGGAGTGTCAGATGGGTAGAAAGATACACTGTGGGGGAGGAGGGCTTCTGTGATTGGCTGAGGGGTTTGGGTTTTGTTCTGTAGGTAATTTTTTGAGGTAGAAGCAATGTCTTTCTCTCTTTCTCTTTCCCTCTTCTCTCTCCTTTCTCCCTTCTCTCTCCTCTCTCTTCTTTCTCTCTTCTCTTTCCCCCTCCCCCGTGTGTGTGTGTGTGTGTGTGTGTGTGCGCGCACACACACACACGCGCGCACGCACACATGCACTCCAGTACTGGGGCATGAACTCAGGGCCTATGTGTTCTCTTTTAGCTTTTTTGTTCAAGTCTATTGCTTTACCTTACATGTGTGAGTTACCAGCACCCATATCTTATTATTGAGATGAGTCTGGAAAGAATAAAAGGTCGAAGCTGGATGCCAGGGCTCACACCTTAGGAGACTGAGATTTGAGGATCATAGTTTGAAGCCAGCCTGGATAGGAAATTCATGAGACTTTTATCTCCAATTAATCACCAAAAACCTGGAAGTGAAGCTGTGACAGAAGTAATAGAATGCTAGCAAAACAACAACAACAATAGAATAAAAGGTAGATTGGAAAGTGGTTTAGTCTGTTTGAGCTGACCGTGACAAAATACCATAAACTGAATGTCTTAACAACTAAAATATCCTTCTCCCAGTTCTAGAGGCTGGGCAGTCTAAGACCAACGCACCAGGAGGTTCAGGGCTGACTGAGACCCACTTTCTGGGTCACAGACATGTCTGCACATGAAGGACACAGCAGAGCAGCTTCCTGGACACTAATCCTGTCCATGAGGGAGCTGCCATCATTACCCAATCACTTCTCAAGCACCAGAACCTGTTTCTACCATCACATTGGGGATTCCATTTCAACACGAGTCTGGATGGGGCGGTAAAGGTTCAGACCATAGCAGAGAGATACCACCATTGCTAATTGGCACTGAGTTCTTACTGTGAGCGGTGAGTGCTGTAAGCCACTTGCTTTCTGTCTCCTTCACCTTACTAGTGAATGAAAGAAGTGCAGTAATTGCCCCATGTTACAGATAGAAAAACTGAGGCAGAGAAAAGTCACTTACCATCCATCTAGTCACAAAAGACTTAGAAGTCCACACGAGAAATTTTCCCGAGAGCCACATTTAGCTATTCTACTGCAGAGCCTCGTTCAGGACAACCTGAATAAGAAAGAGAGATCCTTTGTATGAAAGGGAGAAATGCATGGACCCTCATTTGTTTGTATCCATATAAAGAAACACCATAGAGATTCACAAGAAACTATCGAGGGCGAGCTCAGGGGTCAGGGTCAGATGGGAAGTGCAATGGGGTAAATACATCTCAGTGTATGTTTTTAATTATTATTCTGTGTCAGTACTGGGACTTGCACCCAGAGCCTCATACTCTTGCTTGGCTTTTCCTGATCAAGGTTGGTGTTCTACCACTTGAGCCATACCTCCACTTCTGGCTTTTTTGCTGGTTAATTGGAAATGAGAATCTCACAGACTTCTTTTCTTGGGCTGTCTTTAAACCACGGTCCTCCTAATTAGCTAGGATTTTAGGCACGAGCCACCTCAGCACCTGACATCAATGTGGCACTTTTTAATTAAGGTTCTTATTGAAACATGATATAAAAGTCACCATTTAAAAGTTAATTCAAAAAAGTGTGTAAGAGGGGCTGGGAAGGTGGCTCACTGGTAGAGTACTTGTCTTACACGCATGAAGCCCTGGGACCCATTCCTCAGTACCACATACACAGAAAAAGCTTGTGTGGCTCAAGTGGTAGACTATTGGCCTTGAGCAGAAGGAGCTCAGGGACAGTGCCCAGGCCCAGAGTTCCAACCCCAGAACTGGCAAAAAAAAAAAAAAAAAAGGGTGTAAGAGCTGATTGCATGTGGAAAATAATAAAGGAGACATCATCACAGACAAAAAGGCCGGGGTTTCTGATGGAGGGGGTGGGTAAATGCCCCTAAATCTAGCTGGACAACCCCAGCAGGAGAGCACATTTGAAGTTGCCTAGAACATGTTCAAGATTGCTTGGTGATGAAACTGAACACTTGGATGTTGGGATTTGGGGGTGACCATCCAGATGGGGGTGTTGGTTTGGGGAGTTTCTCTTGAAGTTGACTATAAGCGCTGTACATGGATGATTCTGAGGATATCAGAGAAAGGGAGAGCAGGAGGGCAGGGGTCCCAGGCTTTAAAAACCTGCACTCAAGAGGCAGCTAGCCCAAGAGAAGCAAAGGGGCAGTTTTGTCCTAGTCAATGAGCAGGGTAGGGGGATGGGGATAAGAAAACTGAGGGGGTCATGGAGTTTCCAGAAGAGGTGGGGGCATCATAATGCTATGCTTGTGAGAGATAGGAGATGTTCAGAGATATAGGATAAGACCTGTCAACCTAGGAGCTTTCTGTGGTCATCCAAGGGCTCTCCTCTTCTTTCTGAACAAGGCAACAGGTTAGGTGCATGATGAAGGGGCTTCAGTCAGCCAGTGCTTCATCTCATTGCTGGAGGTAGTGTTTTTAACAAGGGAACTGAGGCAGGCAGTCCTACAAAGCCTCTGATTTTCTGTTATTATCCAGTAACCGATGGTTTTTTTTTTTAATTCTTCCTTTCTTTCCATCCCTCACATGAACGCAAACACAATTACACACACACACACACACAGGCATAAAAGGGCTCCTTCAAACAAGCACTTTTCTGATACAGCTCCTTGAATCTGAGGGAAAATAGAGCAGAAGAGAGGAAGAAGAGAGGCAAGCCACCCTAGCTACTTTTACTCCCCTTTAAGGCTGCCTGGTTACGGTCCTGGGAAAGAAAACCCCTGCATTCCTCCCCTTTAATTGGGTTTATTGTTAAAGCACTGGAGCTGCTAATCCTCACAGACCTGTAGGAGCTGGCCAGGGGAGTGCCCAGAGCACAATTCTTCCGAGCCCCTGGGTAAGATGAGCCTGCTTCTTCTTTTGGGGGATGGGGGAGGTCGGGGGCTTGGGGTGGAAGGCTAACTCGCCTTAGTGGGGGGACCCGCAGAGCATGGAGAGTGGATTTTAAAAGCCACGTTGGTAAGTGACTTGAGCCCCAGTCATTTTTCACCGACTCTTGTGGTGTCAAGGGTAAGTTAGAGCTGCCCTGGATAGTAAGTGTGAATGGGGGCCAGGGTGGGACCTCCCTGGGGAGCCATCCAGCCACCTCTCCCGGAGGTGGCTGCAGGAACCTTTGGAGGTTCCTGAAGAGGAGAGGGGACAATGCATCCAGCTATGCTCCTGGCTCTGTGCTCAGGGGATCCCTGTCCCTCTACCGGGGTGTCAGGACCTCCAGCTCTCTTGCCCTTCCGCCTCCTGCTCATCCTTCATCTGTGACCCCACCTGCCAAGTGGGAAGATGCCCGCTCTGCCCACCTCGCTGGAAGGGTCGGAGAGAACGGGTGGGCTAAACGATGCATGTAAACAGCCTGTGGCTCCGCATAGCTCGGGGAGGAGGACCGGCCCCAGGCCCCCCTGGCAGGGCAGGATGCGGGTCCATCCATCCAGGCTCCAGGCTCCCTAGCCCTGGCTGGCGGCTACAATTAAGATGCAGAACACAGGCACAGGCATGCCATTGCTGTCAGTCACAAGACAGCGTCTTCCCCTTCCCCAGGGGTGCAGCCAGCCTCCTCCCTGGAGTCTTGGAACTTTCCCAGTTCAGTTCTCTGGTAAAGATGCGAACTGGAGGTCTGGATTGACCACCTCCACCCCCACCCCCAGCTGCCCCTTCTCTCCAACGTAACTTTGACGCACAAGCATTAACCCTGATGCTCGCGCCGCCGAGGCGGCTGCAGGTGCAAGTCCGGCCAGCCTCTTGCTCTGGAGCCAGAACCATTGATTGATCATGAGGAAAATCGCTGAGGAGGGTCGAGAGAGTCAAGCAGGTCCTGTATGCCATTTCCAGATTGGAGGCCAGAGACAGAACTGGCTCCCTATTCTCACTGACCAAGCTGAAGCAGGGCCACAGAGGAGCCCCATCTCTGAGACAGGCCATGACACAGAGTGCTTAGTAATCCCTGCATGGGAACACACTTCCTAGGTGCGCTTGTAATTCATCCTTTGGGGGAAACAGTCTACCACGTGGAGGGGCATGTACAATGTCCCCCCTTCCCCCCTTAGAAGAGATGGGACTACTGAAGCTCGAAGTGGTCAAGTGGTTTGCCTGGACTTACAAAGCTGTACATAGACCGGTGCTATCTGTTTGATGGTGGTCTGGTCTTATAAATGCAGTGGCCTTTCTAGCATGATATGGACAGCTATGGTGTGTGAGTGTGAGCATGTGCGTGCGCACGTTTCTTGTGTTGGTGCTAGAGTACTCTTTCAAAAGATGGGGGAAATTTTTGGACAAAGTCTGAGAACAGAGTCAAAGGTTAAGTGGAGCCACGAGAATCGTGGGCAATAGACATGCATGGTGTCCTGGTCTCAATACTGAGATACTCGAGTGCTGCCAAGACAAAGGCTTTTCCCAGATCATCCAATGTGGTGTGCGTGCATGCGTGTATGCGTGTGTGTGTGTGTGTGTGTGTGTGTGTGTGGTGTGTGTGGTGTGTGTAGTGTGTGTTGGGTGGGAGACCAGTCAAGTGTTGGGTTGTATGATAGACAACACCAGAATGGTGGAAATGAGCAGCTTGCTTCCTAGTAATTTCTTCCAGCAAAGAGGCAACAGGTTAGATGATATGGCGACTGGCTATTAGAGGGCTGGGGCTCCCAGCCTAGCACTATCAGTTTGATTTGGGCATTTTTTTTTCTTCCTGAGCATTCTAACCATCAGTATCTCTCCGTGATTTAAAGACTTGCTGTGGAAGGTGGCAATGAAGGATTAAATAGGTCCACACATACCAAGCACCCAGCCCCGTGTACCACGTAGTACCCAGTCCACCAGCCACATCAACTATAAGGCCTAGGGACAAGTCAGGCTGGATTCTTTACACAAGCATTCACGTCTAAAAGGAGAATGCCTCCCTTGCTCCCTCTCCCCCCATACATACGCACATCCAGGCCAGAAATAAATTGTGTGCGAGTGACAGAGCCCAGCCGCAGCCTGCCAGAGCCGGGGCGAGTGAATGAGCTGCAGTATGAATGAGAGGAGGAGCGAATGGCTGAGGCTGCAGACAGGCTGCGTGCCTAGTGCTACAACTGCAGGCGACAGGCTCAGCCCTGATCAAGAACAAGGTGCTGGAGCTGAGCAACTGCAGGCCAGAAAACAAGCCAGTGGGGGGGGGGGCACGGTCAAGGAGCTGAACCACAACTAGGTTTGCTGAGTGTCACAGGAAGGCAGGCTGGTAACTGAGCTGCCCTGTGCCGTGTCCCAATCTGGCCTGGCTGTCTTCTCCTCTGAATCCTCTGCATTGCCTTACTCAGTGCAGATCCTTGCTCTCCCCATCAGCTCCACCCAAGTGCCAGGTTTAGGTGGTTAATAGTAAGGCGCCCCATACTTGGTCAGAGGAGCCAGCCTTTGTGTGATCATTGGGCCTAACAGAAGTGGCTGACAGTGTTGCCCCTAACAACTCCTTAGAAAAGTAGCCCCATGGAGACTGGTACATGGCCCAGAGAAGCCCAACACGGGCATTGTCTCTTATGTTTGTGAGAGCCAGTCCCTGACAACTCAGTTGAAGATGGGATGAAGTGATGGGCTTGCATTCGGGGCCATGTGTATGAAAATAGCATATCTCTCAAGACATTAGAATCTCAGTGGGATGAAATACATGGGGAGGTGGGAGAGGGAGCTAGGGCTGAGGAGCCATAGAGTCATCTCTCCTGACATATGTGCTCCTGTTTAAATCATTATCATGTGGCACATACCTGTAATCTCAGCTACTTGGGAGGAGGATGAAGAGTTCAAGGTTAGCCCAGGCAAAGTCAGCATGGCCCTTAAATAAAAAGGATGAAGATAGGGTTCAAGTAGCAGAGCACTTGCTGAGCAAGCACAAGGTGCTGGGCTCAATCCCCAACATAGAAATAACTCACTACATCAATCATCATCTTCTTCCCTTGTTCTTTCTCCAGTGCTTGGTGTTTAGTTCATGTGCCCATAATGTGGGGCTACTGAACTGATTTCTCATCTTTCCATGCCTCAGAGGTCGAAGGGAAATAGAGTAGGCAGCATTATCCCCATCTGGCAGATGAGGAAACTATAGTCTGACGTGGTTAAGAATAAGTGGCCCACTTGCTGCCCCTCCATTGTCTCCTGCACATCCATCTTCCTCTCAACCATCAGAGAAGCTGCGAAAATCTCTTCATCTCCAAGGGAAGCACATGATAATCCTTAAACAGTACCTGAATTCTGGCTTGTTGCAGCAGCAGGAATGATTTGGTTAAACTTGAATGTAGAAATGTGGGTTTGCATCTAAAATAAACCACAGGCGCACTAGAAAAGCCTTCCTTGGAGATGTTTGTGAACAGACACTGACGTGCAGAACTGGCAAGAGGTGTTGGGGAATAGACAGAACCATCCCGGGGGTTTCTCTCCGGCAGACATCTCCAGGAGCCTTTTGGGTCCAGGACTTTGATTCTGGTTGGCTGATGAGCTGCCTGAAATGAGTTCTGACAGGTGTACAGACCCATTTATGTGCCAATGACACCACAGAGAGGGCAGAACTGTAACTGGTAATAGAGAACTACTGGAAATTCCATACATTCCTCAAAAAAAAAAAAACAGGAGAAGAAGAAATACAAAGCATTAGAAATGGCCTCGATTGTATTTTCCAACATACACTTTGAGCAACCCCAAATCCTTGGCTGCTAATGGGCATTACGATAGGAAAAATATCATGGTCCATGAAATTTGGGACCTGCCAGGTTAAATCGCATTAAGCCAGAGTCTTCAGTAGTTCTCAGAGCCTTTCCGAAGCCAATGTAAATGTGGGGCTGTGAGAAGGAGGCCAAGGAGACAGCCATCTACTTTATTCCCAGTGAGTCTCTGAGGACTAATAGTCAAATGCAAACTTCCAGAGAACTTCTAGATCAACCTCCTTTGTACCAAGGAACACAGATGGAAAGGTAGAAAGGATGCATAGTGATCTCCCTGGGGCTGTACAACTTCTGGGGTCCAAGCCAAGACTGGAGCCAGAGCTTGGCCTTTTTCCTAATGTACTTCTCAGTCTGAAAGATGAAGCAAAAATCCAAGATGGGCCAGGGTTTAGAAAATTACATAGTCTGGGCAAGGAAATTTCCTGGCTTTAGCCTTCTATCCCTTTATAACCCAACAGCATATATATTTATATGGCTTTGTGTGCCCCCGCTGGAAGGCAGAGCGCACAGTCTTATTAAAGATGATCCAGCTGATAACCTCCCTTCCAGAGCCCGCAGGCTGGACGGAGTCATACTCCCAAGGAACATAGGAGAGCATAAAGAACCAGCCTTCTAGAAGTCCACGAAGCTGGCTCCCTATGCCCCAGCATGAGTCACATCTCCCTGCTCAGTGACTTCAAGTGAGAGAACAAAAAAAAAAATGTGGGAGCACCCATGGGAAGAAACGATCTGAGATTTAGGGACTGCAGAGATGCGACTCAAAGATCGCCTGCTCTCAGCTCCTCTGATTGGTTCAGGCCCAGTTTAGCAACGCCACTGGTCTTCCCACATTGCGCATTAATATTAGATTCGACTCTGGGATATCTTCCTAGGAGGGTAGTGATGACTCCTTTAATATGCACCTCAGAACAGAGTCCTCAGTGGCTGTGACTCAAAAATAGGAAACTTCTAGAAGAGAACATGTGGAGCAAGGGGGACAGGAATGGAGGTCTGGATAGGAGGATCCAGGAAACGTGAGGTGATGAGGCGACCTGAGATTTGAAGGCTGTGTGCTAGCCACATGGGGTTCACATTCCTCAGCCTGGGGCCACAGCTGCCCTAGGACCAAATGGAGCCTGGGAAGGAGGTGAGGGTACAGGCATGTGGGGGCTGCCTGCTTCTTGGGCTCTCGGCCCAAGCATCTCTCATCAGCACCTCATCAGTAGCCAGGCTGGCTGCCACCAAGGACCAGAAATTCTGCCTCTAGAAGCCCAGAAAGGGCTGTATACAGAAGTGGTGTCTACCCCAAAGCTATGCTGCCTTGCCCTTGAGGAAGAATCACCCCCCCTATCGTCTCCACCCCTCAAAAGGCTTACAAGATGATCTAAAAATGACAAGACAGAATCTCCATCCATGCGAGTTATTGTCAAGTAAGAATGTCACTAGAAATTACCCTCCACCAGAGTGAACTCAGTTGGCCAAGTGCATTACAGAAGAGAGGAATGGTGGGTCTCAGGAGGGAGTAGCCAGACTTAGAATAGTCAGGCAGGGGTGTCCCACGCAAGTTCTGCTGACCAAGAGCTGAAGCCAGACCCCACCTTAGGTCCCACACAGTCTATTCCTGGTGGGATGGCAATGGGGGGAAGCCAGAAGGTCAACTTTGCCTTCTGTAGCCATCCTCCCTCATGACTGCTATGCCACAGACACTGCCTTACACCAAGGGTCTGGGAGGGAGCAGCCACGTTGGCACCAGAGAGCCATTCTTCTGCTCCAGGTTCTTCTCAAGGGCACTGTTTTCAAAATGTCTGCATCCACCTTTCCATTCCCATCTTCAGTCCAGCTCTCTTGCAAAACTGTCCCCAGCCAGCCTGCTCTCCAGCTCACTCGGTGGACCTCTAGTGTGTTCCAAGCAAGGAACAGGCAGTAGGGATTCAGAGCTGAGTAGCACATGGTCCCTGTCCTTCATGTGGATTGCCTGTAGTTTTATCTCGGGTGTTTACCTCTTTTTCCATACTTACAGTTGGATTTTCCACCTTGACTGATTGAAAACACTTTCAGAGCCTGGCTTATATATCACAGAAAAGTCTGTACTGAATTCATTGGATTTACAGGAGGTACTTAATAAATGCTCATCGGATGAAAGATTGTTGCCTGGACTACTCAAAGATGGTCCCACAAATAAGGCCATATCCTTTGCCATTCTTTGCAGAATTTCCCTGTGAGTCTTGCTCTGTTGAGGAAGGAGAGGCCTGAATAAGTCATGAATGACACTATCTATATGGTGTCTCCTGATCCATCCTCATCAAGTCAGTCCTAGATCTCAGAGAATTCTTTAGTGGTAGCTGCTTGCTCTGGTGCTCTGAAACCCAAGGGAAGTTGTTACTGGAAATAGAGGGAGGCGGGGAGCACTTTGGAAGCAGCTAAGAGCAATACTGGAGCTGGGAACTTCTCAGAATTTGTTTTTCTTTTCCTCTGAAAGGACCCTGCGGAAGCTGAGGGGTTTGGGAGTGGGGAGGGGCTATAAGAGAAAGCAGCAGGATACCACCAGGGAACATGCCCCACATCCGTTTCTGAGCTGGCACACCTGCCCATCCCTGAGCCATGGGGGAGGGGAGGGGGGAGGGGGAGAGATGGGGGCGGGAGGACTTAAGGAAAGAGGACTGTCTGAGGTCTAGGACAAGTAGGAATAAAGAGTCCCTGGAAGGTGTGGGGTTTTAGATCTGGGCCTCTGAGCCTTTCACAGCGCACTGCTGATGAAACTAAATTGTTAGGATTCAGTGTATGGGAGGAGAGGTGGGCGGGAAAGATGTTTTCTATGGCCTTGCCTGGGCTAAGAATACTATGTTATTTTTTTAAAGCTATTTAAGAAGGAACAGTGAGTTCTGATCTGTTAATGAGGTGGTGGAACCTCCAGGAGAGCAGGCCATGCCCCCCCTCCTCCAAGCTCTACAAGGGGGAGTAGGGAGCGTGGCTAAAGTCCTCTGGGCTGGGCAGGCTCTTGATTGTCAAGAGTGGCAACCAGTCCTGTTCTGTAGAGGAGAGAATGAAGGAGACGCACAAACCCAACTCCGTCCATCCCCGCTCTCCTCAATAGCTAACCCTTTGCCTCCATTCCTGCATTCAAGACTTCCCAGCTGCAGCACATCTATGCCTGGAGACTGGCATCATGATAAGTGGTAGTTGGACACGTTCACAGGGAAATCTCCCCTTTCTATTGGCCGGTAGGGTGGGAGTGCATGCGCTTTGCATGCTGGATGGAGCACCCGCATGGAAGCATCTAGATGTGGAGCTCAGAACCTGCAGAACTGCATCTGGCTAAAACTACATTCCCTACTCCAACAGTTCATCTTCTCCAGAGCAAACTACCAGCCAGATTCCAAAAAGTGAATAACCAGGAACCAGCAGAGGGAGGATTCGAACTCACATGAACCCCTAAAGCCAAGCTCTTCACATGATGCTAAATTGTGAGAGCATATGCTTTCTTTATCTTCTGAGACTAGGCAAAGGCCTCTGGGAGTCTATGGGCAGCTTTAAAAAGTGGGGATGGAGGGTATTGCCTAAAAGAGAAGCCACTAGACATGTTTTTCCTACATTGGATGGGGGTGGGGGTGGTGTCATACTGGGACTTGAACTCGGGGCCTAGGCATTCTCCCTGGGTTTTTTCACTCAAGGCTGGTACTCTACCACTTAAGTCACAGCTCCATTGTCAGCATTTTCTGCTTAAGTGCAGATGAAAATCTCACAGACTTTTTTTTTTTTTGGCTAAGCTGGCGTTGAACTACCATCTTCAGATCTCAGCCACCTGAGGAGCTAGCATTACACTGGCTCAGGTTCAAGGAGTATGGAGGAGAGGTGTTAGGAGACACTGCTGTCATAGCTGGAAGCTAGAGCAGAGTACCCAAAGGGACAGAAATTCCCTCCAACCAGCCCATCAATAAGCACGTTTCTCTCTAGTATCCTTGACTTTAATAATGACCTCTCATCACAGACACTCACGCCAGACACATGGAAATCATTCCAATCTTCCTCTCCTCCCCCATACAGTGCCATGGATGGCTAGACTCCCAGAGTATACCCAGACCCACCCATTTTCCCCTCCAGCAACTCCATGGCTAGGCCTCCACCACCTCTCCTTTAGACTTCCACCCTCTGTGCATTCTCCATGCAGCAACTCTTGGGCCTCCACCTCTCCTCCATAGATCAGTCACAGTATGCACTTTCAAACATGGGCAGTCCAATTCAACTCCCCCACAACATATCCTCCACGTCTTCCTGTCTCAGAAGAAAACCCAGATCTCTCGCAGAGTCTACAGCCTTATGTGATTGGCATTGCCAGCCTCTCCTCGCCCGTTCACCACACACACACCATGCACAGTTCTTTTTTTTTTTTTTTTTGTCCGGTTGTGGGGCCTGAACTCTGGGTCTGGGCGCTGTCCCTCAGCTCTTCAGCTCAAGGCTAGCGCTCTACCACCTGAGCCACAGCGCCACTTCCGGCTTTTTTCTTATGTGGTGCTGAGGAATCGAACCCAGGGCCTCAGGCATGCAAGGCAAGTGCTCTACCACTGAGCCACCTTCCCAGCCCACACCATGCACAGTTCTGACTGCTCCAGCTACCCTGCACCTCTGTGTCTGAACTACTCCACGCTCTTCCTCCATTCAGGCCCTGGCTTCGTGTACTGTGCTGGGTTGTTTCTTTCACAAACTTCCAGTCTCATACTCAACAGAACCTTCTCTGGATGCCTTCCCTGACTTTATGTGAGGACAGCCCTTGTTTGCCTCTCTTATACAGCCCAGATCTCCCCATACACTCTGCAACCATGCCAATGTGGGTTTGATGGCCCAGGAAGGCTGATCCATCATGTAGTCCCTAATTACATATCCAGAGCCTGGCACATCATAGGTGCTTAGTAAGTATGTTCAGGGTCTAAGAACATCTCTCTCTAATGCAGAGTTTGGATACATGCAATTCAGGTTTAAGTATTTGCCCAACACTGAGCTAATAGTTGTGGGAATATCAGAGAAAATGGACTGTTGGTTCATTACAGCCATAACAAGTAGGAGTAAGAATGGCAGAGGCGTTTACAGGGCTATGATGGGGAAAAGGCGCCGGGCTGGTTTTGGTGGCTGAATAAACAGCTGGAGATCATTTGAGTAACTTGGGAAGTGCCTCAGCTCAGCTCCCTTCACCTCAAAGTATTTCCATATGAACCCACTAACAGGTTCACCCTGGCATGGATGATGAAGTCAGCTCCTATCACTGGATTCTAAACTCTTTGAGCATAAAGAAAGCATGGTGCACACAGAGCAAACATTCAACAAGTCTGTTATGCTGAGTGTAGTGACTCATTACTGTCGTTTTAGCTACTTGAGAGGCAGAGATGGGGAGGAATGAGGTTCCAGGTTAGCCAGGGTGAAAAGTTCCACCCGATCCTCATCTCAACCAATAAAAAGCTGAGTGTAATGGTATGCACCTGTCATCCCAGCTTTGCAAGAAGCATAAACAGGAAGATTTTTTTTTATCCATCCACTTCCACCCCTCCCCAGCAAAAAGTAAGACCCTACTCGAAAAATAACAAAAGCAGAGGTTTAGGGGAATGGCTCAAGTGGTAGAATGCCTGCTTACCAAGAGCAGGGTCTTGAGATCAAACCTCAATACCACCAAAAACGAATGAACAAATAAATAAGTAAATACATTTTTTAATCGATCCTCTGGTTTTTCTCTTACTTCTTCCTTCTGGTCACTATATAAAGGATGTATTTTAGTTTCTTTTGCAACCTGTTTTCATCTTCTCTGAGAAAGTGATAATCATACCTGTCCTCCTCTTCCTCCTCCATCGCTTGCCTGAACAAAGCGTCCCCGGAAACTTCAACACTGGAGGAGATGGGGCGAAAGGAGGAAGAGGATGATTGCAGTTCCTGGAAGAAACAGACCACCAACATCCGGAAAACCTTCATCTTCATGGAAGTGCTTGGATCGTAAGTCCTGGGCCTGGGAGACCTGGACAACGTGGCTGCCTGCTGCTGTAATGGGGTTGAAGAGTCGCTGTGAGCCTAAGCCGGCGGTGACTAATGAAGTGGGTGGGCTGAGACGGTTGAGACTTACTCTCGGCCAATCTAAGGACCCTGCGGGAAAATATTATGGTCTGGGGGGTGGGGAGTGGAGTTGGGGAGAAAGTAGCCTTGGGTAAAACTGGGGACGATTTAATGCGCTGAAGCCCTCAGGGAATACCAGGCCCCTTCCTCCAGGTTCTAGGTCATTTCTGAGCCACCCCTAGTAGAACCCACCATACTTTCATATCTGTGACAACTTAACAGATTCTTACCCTGGCTTCAGAAGAGAGGATTCAGGGAGTGCACCCAGACATTCGGTGATGCTCGAACTTTCCTGGGCTTCCTTGACTTCCCACCCCCAAACTCATTGTCTGCTTATCTGCTATCAGTGGAAGAAAAGGGATTTCTGGGGCCCAGCACACTAGTGGGCTACACCCTAATCAGCTCTACCCACCAGGCCTCCTCTTCTCCATCTTTCAGTGCTTTGTGCTATGGACCCAACTCTCACCAGCCTGCGGTCCCTTAGCACTGATTACACGGCTGGCAGACCCGAGACAGCCTGTCTGGAGCAGACTCTCCACTTAGTCCTGCCTCTTCCCCAGGAGGCTGCAGTCTATGACGCAGGCCAGCAATAGTTCCTGGCCTCCCTCCCACCAGAGCCTCAGCTGGCAAGGCTAATTAGTCGGGGCTAATTGTACTTGGGCAGTGAGAAGTGGACAGTAGGCTGCCCGTTCCAGCATGTGCTCCCTCTTGTCAGTCCTGGCTAAGTATTGCTCCCCTCTGCTCTGGCCAGGGGGCAGGAACCTCAACAATGACAGATGCCTACAGTCTTGCTGCAGATGGAAAAGCTCCAGGTGTGCCTGAGGGGAGACCTCAGGCCCCTCCCAGCACAGGCAGGTTCTGGAGCTCTGTGGGTGCAGGAGAAGCACAGAAGCAGTGCTGGTCATCAGAGCACTGGCATTCCATCAAGGGCTTTTGCCAACGTGGGGGTGGCTACAGAGAGGACTTTTGGCAGGAGAGAGACAAGGCTCATGAGTGAATCAGAAATGATTTGGTAAGCATTCCTATCAAGAGAAGTGGGGAAAAGGAAACCCACGTTGACACTGACTGCTAAACTGGAGGCCAGCTAGGAGGCTTACATAGCCTTGCGGATCTCAGAGAGGCAACTGAACTGAGAGGAACATCGGAGCCTGGATAAGCTGGGAGCTTATCGCTCCAGCTGTTGACTATGGGAAGGTTCAAACACAAGGAAAAAGGTAAAATAATAGTTCAATGAACCCAATTCGCCCATCACTTGTCTCTAACCATCGCTAATGCTTTACCATACTGCCGCAGAGTCAAGCAGCAGAGACTCAAAATCACTGGGGGACATTGCATCTGTACTGAGCATGTGAAGATTGTTTCTTGTCCTTATACTCTAAACATATGACCACAACTGACTTATCAGGAATGATAAGTGGTCTGGAGATGACTTAACGGATGCAGCAGGAGGTCTGCAGGTTATAGACCAAAATCGCACCATTTTATCTAAGGAGCTTAAGGCCTCACCAATTTTGATACCCAGAGGAATCTTGGATCCCATTTGCCCATGGATTCCTAGAGACAAGTCTATCTGTTTTACATACACATACACCATTCCCTGCTGAACTATTTATAAACAATTTACAAACATCGTGAATCCCTCATAAAAAGTCTACAGTAAAGGCATTTTAAACGTTAACCACAAACTATCATTAGCACAGTCAAGAAAATGAGTAACTAGTATGATGGTCAGTACTTTAATCTCAGCATATAGGAGGCTGAGGCAGGAGGGTTGCAAGTTCCTGGACTACATACAGAGGCCCTGACAAGGAAGGAAGGAAGGAAGGAAGGAAGGAAGGAAGGAAGGAAGGAAGGAAGGAAGGAAGGAAGGAAGGA